GTTTTATTGCTTAACAATTTTTACTCTGGCAACCCTTAAAACCCCAAAACCCCAAAACCCCATTAGAGATAATTGGAGCATTAAAGTGGTTATATCTTGGCATAAAATAAAATCAGACTTAAATTATAAGTTTAAAGCAATGAATATCGTTATAAATGATCAACTTAGATAAACATTTAACATCACACTTTTAAAAACACCTTAAACTAGCATTTCAAGTGATGTTTAATAAAGAATTGCATCAGTCAAGTCACCTCTACATTAAATAAAATAGGTGGTCAATGAGGGCTAATAAATTGATTTTTACAATTAGCATGCTCAAAAAATAAAGCAAAAGCTTAAATGGAAAAGTTTACAACAATCAATGAAAGTGAATGCGATTGCATAGTCAATGAGGAACTCACCAAGATATGAAGTTACATTTAGTGACTCTATTTAAGAGTAATCGAAAGAATACAACAATAGATCTTTGGAATCATAGAAAGCTTCTTAGAATAGAAAGAATCAAATTAATATAAAAAATCAAGCATCTTTATTCCCCCGAAGGATATACCTTTGAGATGAGAGTGATTTAACTTACTAATTGGTCTAGCAAGTAGATGGCTGCACAAGCTATGAAACTTCTCATAAAAATATATATGGTACTCCTTAAATTAAGAGTAAGAGCATCAAAAAGCTGTTTGAAGATTCTAATGCAGGAGACATATCCTATCAAATTAAGAATCTTGGATTGATGAAGCATCAAAATATAGACACTAAAATGAATTCCTTTCAAGTTTATTCATCAATTCGAAACTAAACCTAGAAATCAAAAGAAAAGGATGAAACTTATGAACAAAGGAGAGCTAGGATATATAAGGTCATATAAAGTAGCGAAAGGAATAAGGATTTACAGACAAATACGTTTATAAATAATAACTCGTCCATTATGTCTTTCGCTGAAACCAATAATACCCCACAGATTAGAGACAATCACTCTCTCAATAATCATTTATTTGGAAGTTTCACTAATTCTCCATTAAAGCAGCCAGATTAAAAACATATTGGTAAAACATTTGACTCTAATATGCAAATGCAGGACAGATTAAATATGACTTTCTCAACTATAAACAATTCCTCAAATGATTACTAGTCAAGGAGACTGTATACAGCAATTCAAAACTCAAGAAAACTTCAATCTTAGAACAATAGTTTCTTAAAGAGGAGACCATCTTTGACTTCAAGAAGGGATTAGACTCCATAAAATCATGCAAGGATTACTCTAAATTAGACTTAAAATTCTATTATACCGTCTTAATATAGTAATAAAAGCATGCAGGATGAAAAATCTTAGAGGTTTATTTAGCAAGCTACTTAAAGATAGTCACAGCTCAAATTGATTAAAGATACTAATGATTCTAAGTAGCAAGTTTTTGACAAGAACTATAAAATCATATTGCGAACTTAAATCACCAAAATGAAGAATGAAGTTCTTAAGAAATCTGAAATTTTGAATGTTAAATGCCCCTAAGAATGGCAATTATAAAAGCAAATGCGCCAAAATACTCTTTCATTCTCAAGAAGATCTCTTTCTAGAAAGGAAAGTCTAGAACTCGAAGTGAAGTAAAAGGAAAGAAGCGACATCAAAGCTAGATTTAATAGTCTTATTGAGAGAGTCAAATTTTAAAGATAAGAGGCTATAAGAGCAGAAGAACGCAAGAAGATATTTGGAATGATTGAACTTAAAAAGAAGAAGAGTGATATTCATGTGGAAGTTTAAAATCTCCATGAAAATTCATTTGAATCATCAAATTAACTAACTGGGTTATCCCTTACAAAAGACGTATCACTTTCATTATTTAGGTAACAATCATGATATCAACTGTCCTATTAATCGGATAGTTTAATCTATTAATTATAATTACTATAACTTTATTATGAAAGGCTTTATCATGAAATTAAGATTAAATTCTTTATTATATTATCTGATCATATTATCTAAAGTAAATAGCCTAAGATTTCAAATGAAATCATCATGAATATTGGGATAGTCTGTTATATTTTAGCTTTTTTCCTTGAATTTTCCTTATATTTGCTTGTTTTTCAATCGATGCAGCTGCTCTACTTGGATCCATCATACCTAACTTATGATCAACCACAGACTCCAAAATATCCTATCTCTATGATTCTACCTCTGAATGACGCTTTTTAAGAAAAAGACTTAGTTACGCTGCTGTTACCTCATTATGATCTTCAAGGAATTAAGATACCTCAATTAGTTTTTCATGCCTTATACTTTCATATATTAAAGACTTCTAGAGTTTCCTTTCAGCTTCATCAGATTCATTTTTAAGGCATTGCTTGATAAATTACTTTATTTTAACAAGATCCGAGTTTGTATGGGATTGGCTACTTTCTACAATTGATAACCCTCTTTGCTAGTTTTACTTTTTGTCGATATAGTCATTATTTAACCAATAGTCATCTGAATCAATTTGACTAGTCCTTGCCTGCTTAAACTTAGGCGTAGATGGCTTAAATTTTTAGTTGAAAGGCTCAGTAAAATACTGAGGTGTAGTTGGTTTATTCTAATTGTGTAAGTTAATCTTTAAAAGTGATTATTCTGAATTTTCTTTGATTGGAGATCTTTTTAGCTCGACTTGCTTTTATATTTGTTATTGCATCCTAAATTGAATTCTTTGAAATTGAAGAGTTTATGGTGGTGGGGCTTTATACCCTTCTTTATGAATAGGATCACCCCAAACATAGTAGTTTGGATACTTAAAGACTTGTGAGATTGGGACTTTATATTTCTATTTCCTATCCTTGCTTGGAGATTTATCACCAGTCATGTTTATGTTTTTTGGAGACAGTTTAGTTTCAAAAACAGAATTTTCATTTTATGTTCTATTCATCTTATTTATGATGGAAAATTATCTGGAGTCCATCATCAAGTCCGTTTAGAGACTTGTATTAAGCATGTTATTGATGTTTGTATTCATTGCTGTTGATTAGTTTTTTCCAGTGGAATCATACATATTAGTGGTATTAAGATGGAAATCTAGAGTTGTATCTATTTGAAGATCTTTGTTTTAATTTTTTGGTCCTGGAGAAGTATCTGGGCTTGATAAACCATCCTCCTTTCATTATTCTCTTTTTCGTTTCATTTCCTCAAGTTTCTTGAGCTTCTTTCTTTCTAAAAGCTTCATTCTAAAGGTCTCTAATGTTTTCTTTTCAGCAGGATGATTATTATCACTCATTCTCATGCTCTAACTTTCATATCTGCTATTAGATTAGTCTTGATATAGCTGATTACTCGGACTTTAATTCCTCTTTCTTGATTCTAGACTTTATTCATGCATTCTTTAGAGTGTATCTTCAAGCATTTGTTAATATTTCTCAAATTATATATTGGAAATTCCCTCTTTACTAAATTTACTTTTTAGCTACTGCTAAGACTTTTAATTTTTTTCTTACATTTTCAGGAATAATTTTTCTCGAGATTCCATGTGATCTTTAAGTTTTTCTAGAATTTCTAAATTTCTTTATTTCTTTGATTAGATAATGTCTTGTTCCAACTGAAACCTCTAAGAACTATTTAGTTCTAGTCTTTTTTCATGAACAATAGTTCCATTAATTGGTGTATAAAGTCTATTCACCACTAGAGCTGGATCAGTGACAAACTCTCCTGGATTTTCTAGAGAAAGAATCTACCTATATTTCAAATACACTTGGCTATTAGTATTAGGAGAGGTGCTTTTTTTATCAATAAGACTTATCTCACCCTTTTTATAGTTAAGATAGGCTCCTTCATCATTGCAAATCTTCATGATTTAGTGTCTTCTTTACTAACTATACTTTCCATTATCATATAAACTAGGTTCTTTGAATTGGCTCATTAGCTTTTCAGAGTTTTAGATGTTCTTATTAATTATATTTATGAGTCCATTCTATTTGTATTTCTTGGACAATTTACCCTAATCTAATTCTTTCTTAAATTTATTATTGGTTTCTCCATAACGCATCAAACGCATCTTTGCTAATTGAACCGTATTTTGATCATGCTCGTTAATGATTTCAGATACATTCAAATCATTTAATCTATCATAAAACTCTCTGGTCTACATCATATCATCAAGCTCAGTGTCACTTTATTTCATTTAAGATCTTCTTTAGCTTTATTATCTGAGTTATCATTTTTAAGTTCTTGTTGATGATAATTCAAAGTTCTTATTGGCTTATTAAGTATTAATTTCTCGTTCAATTAGTCTTATTTTTTGATCTACTTTTTCCACCATTTTCTCAGTTTGCTGCTTCTCTTAATTGTATATATCAGTAACAATATTGAATTTCATCTGAGATTCTAAATTCTTGATTTTTTCGTTTTCAATAGCCTTTAGGAATCTCTAATCGGAAATGAATTTCTAAACAGTTTGACTTGCCATTCGTTTTCCTCTAAATTTATTAATTGATAAAAATTCTTTACTTGAGAAATCAGACACTTGCACTCTCTTAAGATGCATCCTTTTTTATCATTAATTAATGAGGATTTTGATGTTGCAAAGCATTAGGTGCTGAAACTCTTTTCTAGGTAAATATATTTGTCATTTTTTATGAGAGATGTTAATTAATTTGAAGTTAATTATAAAAGTTTAAGTATTAGATTTACTGATGATGCTAAGGCTGGAATAATAATATCTTGAATTTTTAAAATTAAATGCTTGCAGATAATCTACTTGCTTATTTATTTATAATAGGTTAAGCATATAATTCATTGAATTCACGATTAAAATTATTTCAAGCAGTTAATAGTTCATCCATATAATGCTGCCAAATTTTATAATTTCATCATTCTCTTGTTTATTCTATCCTGAATATTTCCAAATTTCTGCATTAGTTTCTTATCAATATTTCTCTCTCTGATTATTTCCTCGATCTTTTAAATAACATAGTCCTCTATTTTCTTTTTTACTATCATTTTCATTGTAAACAACATCTTGGCTAGTTAATATTTGAATAATTTATTGTGGTAAAGCATCTCAATCATCTCTCCTTTTTCAATGTTATTCTATTCTAGCATCTCATGAATTTAGTTTGAGTTTCTAACACACTCATAAACTTTGTCCTTTGACTATTCTATGAGAATATCTTCAATGGGCTTTGTAAGCTATTATTATGGCTCTTTAGGGGCAGGAACAATAACAGACTTTTGCTTTAAAAGGGAACCATTCTTTACAGGCGTCATGTTTGTCTTATGCTTTCTTATATTCACATCTCTTTGCTTGGAATTTGAGGTTCTTGGTTATGATTTGGCGTTATGAATGGGTATTTTCGAAGACATATTTGAGTTTGAAACAACAGATGATTAATTTTCTTTCTAAGAGTTATTATTTTGCAGGATAATTGGTTGCATTGTAGGAGAACATATGTTTTCATTATACACGTTGGATCCAGATGTCAAATTAATATCCTTTTGCGACTTTAACAAGATTTTAGAAGTATCATGTCTTCCAATTATGGGATTATTAGTAGCTAACTTAAGAATTTATGAGCTTTATCCTTTGGATGCTGCTGATTCTGGCCTTCTGGTAATATCATTTTTAAGACTTCTGACAGTCTTGACTACTCTAGAATCATGAGTTTGTGATAATTGGCTTGCACTTTATTGGCTTAAAGAAATTTCATTTTCTTGTTGTTCCTAGCACTATAAAACATAGGAATCATCTATCTGTGACTAGCTTAATTCCAAATTATTGTCGTTATCTTCCATTGAAAATTAAGAATTTAAAATTACTGAATTAACTACTAAAATGCAGGCACTCGGGGTTTTGGGGTTTTGGGGTTTTGGGG